GCCCCGACCTTTGTTACACCCTGACTGGCCACGGAGCTCTGCCTTACTCCGAGATGGTTCGCCGAGCCACTGAGTTAGAGGTTTGCCAGAATGCCCAGAGGGCGGCTGCCCCATCTTATCAGCAGACCCGTATGATTCAGCCTATCTCAGCTGTTGCGCCCGGTTCTAATTCGGGCAAGAGGAAGGCCGACTACCATCAGAACAAAAAGAAAGAAAAGAAAGGGAACTTCGGAAGGCGTGATGATCGACCCCCTCAGGGACAGCTTCCGAGATGCCCTAACTGCGGCAAGTTCCATGGTCCAGGAGAGTGCCGAGCAGCCGATAGACACTGTTTCAATTGCCACCGTGTCGGATATTTTTTGCATATGTGCCCCGAGCCGAAGAGGCCACAGCAGCAGCCACCCTACCCTCAGCAGCAGCAGCAGCTTCCACCTCCACCCCATCAACAGCAGCCCAGACAGCCCCCACCTTACCAGCAGAGAGCTGGGGGTCAGGCCCGCGTGTATACCATCACTCATGATGAGGCAGCCAACAATGCAGGTACTATGTCCGGAATGCTTTCGATATCCAACATGCCTGTATATGCTTTATGTGATACTGGTGCTACCCATTCTTTTATTTCTTCTCGTTGCTTGGAGGCCTTGTCTATTAGCACTGTGAATTCTTGTGACCCTCTCGAGGTTTGTCTAGCCTCGGGAAAGATTATTATTTCCGATTCTATGATTCCCAGTCTTCCAGTCAGTATTGGTGGCCATCTTTTGGAGGCCAGTGTTTATGTGATTGAAATGCGGGACTTCGATGTGATCTTGGGCATGTACTAGCTCACCCGCTATCGAGCCGACATCCGGTGCCAGGAGCGCGAAGTCACTCTCTTTCCCGTTTCTCATCAGCCAGTTGTATTCTTTGGGGTGAAGTCGAGGACTGTGCCTCGGGTCATCTCTTCTATGCAAGCTAGGAAGAGCCTTTCCAAGGGTAGCTGTCAAGGCTACCTCGTTTCTATGGTATCCGACGTCGCTGATGAGCGGGTGCCCGAGAGAGTATCCATTGTAT